AAACAGCCTATTGGAACTTGGCAGCTTGAATCTACTCCTAAGATAAATTTGTGGGTTTTAAAAACAATTAAAATCTGGAAAACAAGAAGTAGAAATACAGGGTTGTTTTTCTTCTCTAAACTCTACCTATGGGCAGGAAGTCAGAGTGCCTGTTCTAGTCCTGGCTTTAACCCTCACAAGGGAAATCTCACACTCTAACAAGGTGTGAGCACCTGGGCATGCACCTCCTTTCTCTGGGGCTATTTCCTCTTCTGTAAAAGAAGGATGGATTAGGCCAGAGCAGTGGCTCGTGCCTGTAATCCTAGCACTTTGGGAGGTGGAGGTAGGGGAATTACTTGAGTCCAGGAGATTGAGACCAGCCTGGGCAATACAGCGAGATCCCATGTCTACAAAAATTTTTTAAAAAATTAGTCAGGCATGGTGTCGTATGAACCTGCAGTCCCAGCTACTGGAGAGGTTGAGTTGGGAGGACTGCTTGAGCCCAGGAGTTCAAGGCTGCAGTGAGTTGTGATTATGCTGCTGCACTCCAGCCTGCACAATAAGTGAGACCCTGTCTCAAAAAATAAATAAATAAATAAATAAATAAAAATGAAAAGGTGGATTAGATGTTTCCAATTTTATTTTCCAGCTAGCACACCTGAAGGATGCATTCTAGAGGTAACAGCAGCTCAGTCAGCCTAGTGAGTCTCAAAGAAGGAGGGGAGGGGGTAAGGAACATGAGACCTCTGGGGAATTTGTTTGAGGTTGTGTTCTCTTGGCTATTTCTATCTCCTTGCCCTCCCCACCTCCATGAGGACGTGGTGACCCCTACTCTTCACAGCACTAAAAATCACTGGGCTAGATGAGCTCCTGGGTCTGTTCCAGATCTAGCCTCTATGACAAATAATTCGACAAAGACAATGGTTTACATTAACACTCAGATCTAATTAATATTCTAATCAAACTGGGGCTCTGACCTAATTAATACTCTGGTTCTAATTCACAAAGGTCATTGTTTACATAAGAACTCAATTTAAGTGTATTAAAATGCCATCTATAAAAAAATATATAATTTTGAAGCTTTTGCTCAGTTTTGGCAGGCCCAGTTGGTCAATTTACAAACAGGTTGCACCATGAGAAATTTTAAATGTCTCCCCTTTCTGTTTAGAAAAGTAAAGTTAGAGTTCTTGGTACTCTGTCAACATCAACTCTTCTTTTCTGTTGTTATATCACTAGAAATACACCAACTCCCAACAGGATATTTGCAATGTATTTCTTTATTCCAGTTCTATTTGATGGCAAGGAGCTCTAAAATTATCCTAGCTTCATCACTTTGCTTTATGAAAGGCTATGCACTCAATATCATCTCAGTCAGATTCAAGTGGGAAGGGAAAGCAATGTTTGAATACCACACATTAAACAAAAAACTATTGAGGATGCCCTTACCAATGTGCATTTCTTAACTGATCACTGTCTATCTGTACCATATCGTATGGTAGATGTACAGAGACATAGCTTGCATAATACTATTCTGTTTGGGAAACATTTATTAAACTGGTAGAGAACTTGCTAATTCTTCAATACTTGTAACTATTTTTTAATGAATGAACCTTTTAAAAGATATCTTGCTGCAAGAAATTATATATTCCCCTTGACTTTCCTCCCTAGGCTTAGACATTTATTTCTTCTATCATATGGGAGAGAATTTTTATTTGCAGATGCTTAGTTTTACAGCTTTATTTTGGCTACAGAAATAAGGATCAAAATATACTTTTCCTATAGATAATCAGTCAGAAGAGGGCCGATTTAGATCACAAGTGTCTGTCTCACATTAAGCAGATAGTCAAACCAGAAAAAATCTGAATAGGTTCACAGTCTACCTCTAATTGATATTTAGTATCTGGTCAATGGCAATCAATATTGGCTTATAGGCATTCCTTCTGCCTAGACCCTCCCACTTCCCTGTCTGAATTATAAAGGACTCTCTTGAAATTGGGGTTTTGGCTTTAACTGGGGTAAAAATAAGTGATAATCACTTACATATATACTTCCTTGTGCATATACACACTTGCCTCCATGACAAAGTTGGGTGTTTCTTAAAGAGTGACACACACTTCTGCTCTCTGCTGGTAACCAGGGGCAAACAAACTGCTTAATATATCATCTCAAAATAACTACAGTAATGGGGCTAAATAATGTTGTACTAACAAATGTGCTGGTGATAGCTCTGATCTCAATCAAGGTAGAGTTGAATTCATATTGATGACTTTATTACACTTGGGATTTCATCTATAATTTATAATTTCAAAGTATCTACAGAAGCACTGTAGCACTTCTTGAACAAGCAGCTATAGCAGGAAAAGAGAGTGCTTAATGGGATCTAGATCTAATTTCAGATACAGATGCTCTTATATATTAACTGTGACATGGGCAAAACATTTGACTTCTCTGATTTCCTCAATTATGAAAGAGAAATAATAATACTTACCTAATAGGACTATTGTGAGAATTAAGTGAAACAACTTATAAAGCACTCAGTACAATGGCACATTGTCAATGCTTAAGAGATGATAGTCACTGATAACAGCTCTACACATTCTGATGCATGTGTGCACCTACGTGAATACAATGGATAGTACAGAAATGCCTTCATTTTATTGATTTTAAAACAGGCTCTAAAGAAGATTCTCCACAAAATACTCAAAGAGGCATTATGTATGGATTCTGCAGCAAACCAGCATATTCAATGAAAAAATAATGAATAAACTGCATGAGTACAAAGTTTGGAAAACTATGCAAAATAGTATTAGCATAGAATTTTTTGCTAAAAAATTCTGGGCTCTCAAAAATGGAGTAACTTTTATTACAATGTCTTTTATAAATTCTTTGAGAGCAGGAACTACTTCATGTATCTTTATACTCCTCCCAGTTTGGACCCTAGCTGTTCAATAAATATTTGTTGATGTGACTACAAATTTTCATCTCAGTAGTCATTGATTTCATGGCATCTGGAAGCTAAGCCTTATGATTTAGACAAGTAAATGCTATGAAAGTTTCCGCTAACAATAATCTAACTGAAAAACCAAAGAGATCAGATGTATGCTAGAAGATTTTTAGACTACTCTTTTGTAGAACTGGAAGTGATTTAACATAGGGAAAATTTAACCATAGGGAAAAATAATTATAAAATAAATATCCTAAGTTGCTGATATATAAGTTATACTCAGACCAGCCCTAAATAACCATGATATCAAATGGAATCTTAGAATAAACTGTCTTGGATAAATATCCTATGTCTAACTTTTTCAAACATTATAGTTGTTTTTTTTTTTTTAATTGCTAGCATCTATGGTTTTCAATAGTCACTCATATGAATATGGTAGAGAGATTATGCAGCTATGTCATCCAAATGCTGACAGACTGGTTCAGTGCTTTTGCTGTAGACAGTGCAAAACTTTTAGTCATGTGAGGAACACTGGAGTTTCTTACATGACATTGCATTGATCTTAAAGTATAAGCACTGCAAATAATGGCTTTGAGCCACAGGATTGCCTGAAACGGCAGCAATGAATACCTGCAGGACTGTTGATTTTTTGCTAAAGTATATGTGCAATTTTGACATTTGCCTCTGCCACAGCATGAACATGATTTTTTTCTTAATATTCCAAATGATAAAAATGGCATCTGGCAGTATCATTTAGATAAAAACACAAAATTTAGAGGTAGTTGTAGATTTTTCATAATATAATTAACTCCAAGAGATAACACCAGCACTTTGGGAGGCCAAGGCAGGAGGATCTCTTGAAGCTAGGAGTTTGAGGCCAGCCTGGACAATACAGTGAGACCCCATCTCTACAAAAAATTAGCTGAGCATGATGGTGTGAACCTGTAGTTCCAGCTACTTGGGAGGCTGAGACAGGAGGATTTCTTGAGCCCAGGAGTTTGAGGTTACAGTGAGCTATAATTCTACCTCTGCACTCCAGCCTGGGCGACAGAGCAAGACCCCCACCCTGTCTCTAGTCAAACAAACAAACAAACAAACAAAAAAAGACAGATACTGTAACCTGGCTATGCTTCTACCAAGCCATTATTCAGAAAACAGTTTTCTGAAACTAAGAGTCATGATGTTCCTATTTTGGTTTGAGTTATCACAGAAAAATATAAATAAATAAAAATACTTCACATTCTCAATTTGTGTTATTCTAAATGAAAATGCAATATGATTAAGCAGGACAAAGATTTTCATTTTAGTATCTCAATAAACACAGATAGGGAACTGACATTTTCTAGTTCTGCTTTCTCAGTGCATACTGACTACCCTTCTTCCTTAAGACAAACTTACTGTGCTGTCAGAAACATATTAAAAATTTAGAAACTATGTCAATTAAAAATTAAACGCACCATAACATTTTAAGTGTTTCACAGAGACCTTTTTTCAAACATGAGAGGTAACCACATAAAAATAACTATTTTTTTTAAAGAGTTCCCTAAAGTAGGCTGTCTGCTGCAGTCAGGACAAGCTACAGAATAAGGAGAAAAGGAAGGTTTTGCAAAGAGAAGTGGGAGAAAGAGGCTCTGTGGCTCCAAATGTATGGGGGTGGGAGAGGACTAGAGGACATGGTGCCATCATGAAAGATCACTCAGGATTCCTTTTGATCAGACATCCTTCGGAGATGTTAAGATGCTGTGTCCCCAGCTCTGGCTCAAACCACTGAAAAATTATGAGCTGGTCCTGAGAAGGGTAAATAGAAAAAAAGACTCTGGAGTGAAAAGACACACTACCATTTATTTAGCTATGATCTAACTAACTTATTTTGACCTGACCATAAAATGAAGATAACTCACCTTTTCAAAGTTGCAAGATTAACATAATGTATATAGAAATAAATATGTAAGTACTGAAATATATCTGAAGAAATATTTGCCAAAATGTTAACAGTAGTTATCTTTGGCTAGAAGATTTATGAGTACGTATTTTGTTTTCTTTATCCTTATCTGTATTTTCCTATATATATTTTTATGATTAGTAACTATGACTTACATATGTGATGCATGTAAGTCATTCGGCACAGTGCTGGCATGCATGCTGGCTCAAAAATGGCAGCTCTCACCATTATCAATACAAAAACATAAAGCAAGACATTCTCTGCCTTTCTTCTTGTCTCTGGATGTGTAAATAAACATTTCTCTATGGAGGAAAAGCCATGAGAATGAGGTTAATTTCACCAAACAAAGTCCACGGCTAACTTCCCACTCCTGAGCCAAATGAAAGGTCACAGCTTAGATCAACAGGTCTTTATATGGTTATGACTTGGTGTTGGAAGGAGTTCCCTGACCATGGGAGAGCTCAGCTCTGTGATGACTTAGCAAAGCAATTCAGAATGGAAGTTGTTCTGGTTATATACCAAATTAATGTACAAAATACCACCTACCTTTCTAGCTAATGTGAATTATGAGGTAGCCTTGAAGAACAAATATCTCCCAATAGAATTCTCAGGTCCAGTGAAACAACCAGGATTTGGAATTTATGTGTGTTTCTGATTACATGGGATAGGAACCTAGCTCAGCTTTCTTGTGGTTCTAATGTCTAAATTTAATTTATTTTTGAAATAACTTAATAATTCACCACAGGCTTCAAGGCTTGAAAACAAAGAGTTTGGGAAAACTGCCACAAATGTTTAACCAAAATTATTATAATAATTGCAGGATATCACAGATAAATGCATTTATATTTACTACAGAAGAATCTCGCACATTTTCAAGAGTGTCAATATTCCTTTGATCTCAACTACAGAGTCAAATACCTCTCCTTGCCCCAGAAGAAAAGAGCCTGTTTAATGCTTCTATATAAATAATTTGGGGAATATGAACTTTGAAGACGAAGAGTTTTTTTTGTTGTCTCGACTACTGCTTCCAGATTTTTAGTAAGACTTCCCACTCTTTACCTTCTCTTTATATGCAATCTAATGCTTGGCAACATTTTCAAAGCTTTGGTAGGTTTAAATTTCTTGTCAAACTTGATTTATATCCATTTCTTAGGGACAAAAAAAGAAACATTCTATCCAGGTTCAAGCACAATAGTTAAAATGAGCTATGTAACAGTCCTTTTAGCCAGAATATTAGACTTTGCATATTATTTTAAAATTACGTACCTCCCTAAAAGAATGGCACCTTTACTCCCTCCTTCTACCCTTCCCCCCCCAAAAGAAAAGATGTTAGCTAAACATCTAGATTTTCGTACACTGTAAAAAATGAGGCACAGGAGCTAAAACTCTAAGTTAAAAAGAGAACATGTAAATAATTTGATGTTGAGCTTATACAACACTTTCATATTCTGGATCTAGCTGAATACAGTTTTGTGTAAGCAGTGAAGTTAATGTCTCCTCTTGATTAATATAGAATTTTAAAAATTAAAAAAATAAAGCCATTTATTAAGGAGACAAAAAATGGGAGTTGGGGTGGGAATGAAAAGCAGGAATTGAGGACACAAGCATCTAAGTCTAAGATGACTTTCAATTTCCTTTTTGACAGTTTTTAAAAAACAGAATTCTCTCTCTGCTTTATGTTGCCTGAGAACCACTATGGTTTTGTAAAATTTGTAACAGTAACTACATTTGATCACCCACAAGTACATCTGTCTTAAGCCTATAAATACTATGTTAGTAATACTAAATTATCTCCATTGGCTTATTTGTAAAAAGAAAAATATATTATATATTTATATTTTTATAAAGTTAATTAACACTGAGGGCAGAGGAAGGGGAAGGAGAAGCGCTGTATAATCACAGTTTCTCTGGACACGGTAACCAAACGGGAGTCTTGCTCAAGCCACCTGGTCAAGCAGTGTCTGAGGAAGAGTCATAGGAGGCGGAGACGATGAAATTGCCATTGTTGGAGTGCCCCGCCACTGACTGGGCAGCCTGTTGGCTCAGATTGTTACAGATCAGCACCAGCTGATTGCTCTGGGCCTCAGACAATGTGCTGCAGCTCTGATACACACTGAAGTTGGTTTTCCTGCCGGGGATGTTGCCCTTCTCACACATGGTCTTCACCATCTTGGCCAGTTTGTTCTTGCCAAGGGCCTGGCAGTTGTACCAATGCAGAGCCGCCAAGTTCACGACCGGCTTGATGGATAAGTAGAAAGGGGCATCCTCATAGCGCATGGCAGGAGGCCGCCGCTGGGCATACTCCTTATAGTCCTGGACGGGGCAGGTCTGCGGGGCATGCTGGGTGGCATACACACGGGAGTCTGTCCCCCCTCTCTTGGTTTTGGCATTCAGGTCCCCTGTGTCCTGACCCATCCACTCCAAGTACTCCAGACCCGTCTCTGTTACCCGGAGCCGGATATCACCCCATTTTAAGGTAGATCCATGGAAGCCTGTGCAATGCCCAAAAGCTTTTGTATTGTTGAGCCAGACTAGGTTGAGCAAACCCTCAGGATTATATCGGCTTAGCAATCCCCTTTTCCGCAGGATGAGCTCATCAGCAAAGGTGAGCTTCATGGACTTGTGTGGCTTATTTCCTTTTCCTTTGCAGCGGAGTTCAATTTGCTTCTGCTTCAGGGCCTCTTGGGAACGCTTGAATTCCTTATCCCTGGTGATGCTGTAGCCATACCTGTGTTCTTTGAGGTACCTTTCAAGCCCACACTGATAATTGGCCAAGCTGTTGGGTTCGTATTCGGACCCATCCTTCTGCCTGGCATCAACAAAGAAGGACGCAAGGTAGGCATCCAACTCCTTGCAAGGGATGACATAAATCTCTCTTGTTTCAGAAGGATACTTGGAGATGAGGAACTCGCGGAAATTGCGGAGCGCGGTCTGCGTGCTCCGGATGGTTTTCTCGTTCTGCTCCCTGCTGAGCTCAGCTGCTCTTTCATCCTGGTCTGCAACAAATTGGGGGGGGAGGGATAGAGAGGGTGTTGATGAGTTCAGACAATGCACTTTCTACTCTGAAATAAAGTTTCCTTTTATAATGACAAGGGAAAGGAAGAATCAATTCTACAGAGATCACTGATAAATGTTATTTACATACCTGTCACATTATAACAGCCAACTTCAGTTTCACAAATGATCTACTAGACAAGCATATGGCCCATTACAAGCAAAAGGAGTTTCCTATGTCACTGGCACATAGTTTAGTGCATGAAGGTTTGTGGAAAGAGAGAGATTCAAGACGGCCTTCGTTTTAGGAAAAATGTGAAACAGAAATGTGCTGTTTATCCTACCACAGCGTGCAAGGGCCCCATTAGCGCTGACAGACTCATTCCAAATCACTTCATTTGTGAAAACAGAGGTTGTACTGTTTCCATTTTATTGAATTAAACTAAAATATCTGTATTTGTTATTTTAACACATCACTAAAAGACTGTATTTAACAATGACAAAGCACGTCTTTTATGGCAGTTAAATACTTGTTCTACAGCAATTCAGGTAAACATAGTTTAAAAGCATTCTGCATGTAACTGCAGGGCATCTGTAGTAAGTGATGAACGAAAATATTTGGTATTTTGGAGGGTAATGAGGATACAACGTCATAGCTATAAAGACAGGACAGTTACATAGGAAATAGGCTATTATAGTCAAGATGCAAAGAAGAGGGTATGTCTCCAGGATCCATCATTTCTTTTTATTACTTTATTATTTGTACTCTGCTACCAAGGACGTGAGGTGCCTCTTTCTGTTATGGAACATCCATGATTAAGTAATGCTGCCCTGGAACAGCTGTCTTCACAGATTCCTGTGCTTCAGAATCACCCAGTATGCTTGGTCAAAATGCAAATTCCCACACAGCAGGTGTAGGAATCTGTATTTTAACCAGCATTTCTATGTTCACGATGAGGTTTGAGAGGATTCACTTTGAAAAACAAAGTTCCAATGCCTGTGTCCTAGGTAGGAAATCCTACTCTATTTTCACCAATTTTTAAATAATAGTAAAGTTCAATTATATCATTTAAATAGTTTCATTTCAGTAAAATGTAATTTAAATTTAGGACCTTAACATTAACAATAAATTGTTTTGTCAAAAATCACCACTATTATGTTAGACACAGTCTGGGTGAAACCCAAAAGAGAAATCCTAAAGAAAGCATACAATAAAAACAAACAAACAAAAAACCAGGCTATCCTATTGATTGTTGAGAGGCAAACACAGACGTTAATGTCAGACAACATTAAATATGTAATTTCTGATTTCTAAAGTATAAAGTAGAACCATTTTATTTATCTTAATTGTGTTATCTAGAAAAATTTTTTTATTAACCTGAAAGGTTGCTTGGTGGAAGTCTTTGAATTACGACATCCAATGATAAAAATAAAATTTCTAGTAAACTGAGTTTTATTTACACACTTTTTGTATTACTATATACATACATGAATAGCTATGTTATTTTAAAATGACAATCATAAGACATAATTGTCAAAAATCCACATAGCTTTATAAAATGATATAAACTAAAATTCACTAAACTAGTTAGCTATTTTTATAGGCACATTTTTGAGGGATCACATTTCCAAATCTCAAATATACAAAAGTTTTATGCTTCAATAGACTTAACTTTCAGTCATGCTATTTCTTCCAGTTGAAACTGTTTATCTATTAACAATAAAGATGTTTATATTTCCATCACAAACATGGAAGCCACAGGTTGAATGTAATTATTTGCCATGCTGGCTTCTTTGACTGTTTACATGGAAAGCCAAAAGGGCCAGCACATCTGTTTTTCTTGGCTACTTGTTGAAATATCTATCACAAGGGTCTTCTAACTTCAAACAAAGATTTTCTAAGAAATAAACAGTCACAGACAACTTTAGGAGAAGAATTTCCAGGTTCTCAACTTTCACATGGGATCTTTTAAATACTTGTCTGAGACATAGACTGAGTTTGTACATGTTGCCATCCAAAACCTACTACGGTACATACTCTGGGATGTATTGATTTATAAATTTTGTTTAGTTCCTCAAAGTCAAAGACTTCGACTTTTACCGATTAGGATTTCCTGTCTTTAAATAATTAAACCCATAGCATTCTCTGTCTTACGCATATTTTGACAAAGGAGAAATCTACCATTAGAAACATGGTTTGAGGCCTGAATTGGGGTGTTCTGAATTTAGGACATATGAAGGGGTTACCTGTTAATGAGGCTGATTCTTCTAACTAGAACTAGAATATTCTGCATAACTATCAAAAAGCTCAAGATAAAGGGGCAGCTTAAAATTTTACTAATTTCTTTCAGATGATTTCGTGTGCTTTTTATTCACAGGGTATTTAATATTATGAAATCATATCATGAAATACTGATTCTAGTTAGGGTTACTCCTCTTTTTTTTTTTNTTTTTTTTTCCTGAGATGGAGGTCTCACTCTATCACCCAGGCTGGAGTGCAATGGCGTGATCTTGGCTCACTGCAACCTCCGCCTCCTGGATTAAAGCTATTCTCCTACTTCAGCCTCTCGAGTAGCCAGGATTACAGGCACCCGCCATCATGCCCGGCTAATTTTTGTCTTTTTGTAGAGATGGCGTTTCACAATGTTTGCCAGGCTGGTCTTGAACTGACCTCAGGCGATCCGCTTGCCTTGACCTCCCAAAGTGTTAGGATTACAGGCATGAGCCATCATGCCCGGCCTCCTTCTCTTTATTTTATAAAATATTCACTATTTCCTTATAAATTGATCGAAACAGGTTGAAAAACCTTTGGGTGTCAATTTAAAAGTGAGTGAGTGGTCAAGAGTTTTCAAGTTCTTTTAAGGTATGTGAGCAAAAAAGTTTAAGTCTGTTGGATTTAATTCAGCAGCATTAGTCGGTCTGCTATTAGTGGGACTGGTGAAGACAACCATGGAATGGTCCAGAATGATGGCTTGGATGCTGTCACCTGCCACAGTCCCCTGGGTGGAGCCCTCCTACGTCAGTATCTCTTCCGCATTTCAGCACCATGCTAACACACACAATGACTGACACATTCACACCTTTTCAACTCATCCTCAGACAAGACTTGTTTGCAAGGCTTTCCCTTCTTTCTACTGGGCCTCAATCTTAGTTGAGAAACAGCCATTTCATCTGCAGGATAATAAAACTAAAGACAAATGTCACACTTTCATATCCTTTCCTAATAGCCTGGAATGAGCCACAAGAGGAGGTTGAAAGGGTAAAGACACTATCATTGATTTTACATGAGTAACAGGGAAGGAAATAGTTTTAAAGTCAAGTAATAGGAATACGTTTTTTAGTTAATAACAAAATCAAGTAAGACCAGAGAAGACTGACAGTAAAATACAAAACTATTACAACTGTCTTGCATTTACCTCTAGTTTTAGAAATTTTTCTGACCCCATTACTTTTAAAAACTTTTTAATAGGTATAATACACACAATGAAATAGAATAGTCATTAACTGCATGTGATTAATTTTCACAAATTGAATACATCTGTGAATACAGTGTCCGGGTCAAGAAAAAGAACATCACCAGTACCCCAGAAGCCTTCCTCATGTTCTCTTCTTCCAGTAACTCAGTCTCACCAAGAAAACCTGCTATCCTGACTTGAAACATCATAGTTTTGTTTGGCCTATTATTGTAACACATATGAATGGACTCTTAGAAGGTACACTCTTTTGTGTCTGGCTTCTTTTGCTCAACATTATGGTTTGTAAACTTCATCCACGTTGTTGTGTATTTGTAGATAATTTATCCTCATTGCTGCATAACATTCCATTGTGTGAATATATTATAATTTATTTTTCTATTCTATTGGACGTTACATTCTATTAGCTTTCAGTTTTTGGCTATTTCCAATATTTGATGATCATGTGCATGAATCCCTCTTGGGTATATATGTAGGAGTGGAATTGCTGGGTCACAGAAAATCACGTGTTCAGCCATGATATGAACGACAATTTGTCAAAGTGGTCATATCAATTTACTTTCACCACCATGAGGAAAAGGTGCTCCATTATCTTCAGCAACACTATATACAGTTAACCTTTCTTATTTTAACCATTCTGGTGGGCATGTAGTGATACTCCACTGTGGTTTTAATTTTCATTTGAATATTCTTTTTTGTGAAGTGCCCATTCAAATATTTCGCCCATTTATCTATTGGATTGTCTGCTTTTTTTCTTACTGTTTGTAGGAAGTTTTTAATATATTCTAGATATGAATGTTTGTTATATTTATTGAAAATATCTTCTCCAATATATGGCTTGCCTTTTCATTTTTTAATGGTATCTTCTAATAAACAACAGTTTCTAATCTTAATATAGTCTAATTTATCAATTTCTTTCCTTTATGATTCATGCTTTTTGCCTTCTGTTGAAGACATTTTGCTTACTCCAAGGTTATGAAACATTTTCCATTTCTTCCAAAAGCTTTACTGTTTCACTTTTCACATTTTGATCTGCCATCCACCTAGAACAGACTGGTACATTTTTATCTGCCATTTACCAAAACATCCACCTATATGTTCTGAGGTAGAAATTAAGATTTTTTTTCAATATGGATCATGATCACTTGATTTTAATTGATAAAATTTGAACAGGCAATACAAGCATAAGGACAGTTTCTAAAAGCTACAGATGGGTATAGAGTGAAAGTAGGTTACCTGCTGATCTTAATCCTTTGTTACCAAGCTTCCCTCTTCACAGCAACCAATGTTACCAATGGATTGTATATAATTTTCAATATTTTATATTTCTTATTCTTTTCCTTTCAAAATGGGGGGGGGAACATACTATACATCCTATTCTAGACTCTGCTTCTTACCATTATGTATTAGAAATAGCACCATATTATTATGTATACATTTGCCTTAATCTTTCTAATAGCTGCATTCTATTACATATGGATATACCAGGATATATTTTTCCTGTTTTCCAATTCCCTACGGATAGATAG